CTCTGAGATGCTTGAGTAGATTTAATACAGCCTGTGCAATGAATCCTAACTGGCATAGAATTGTTGAAATAAAGTGGCAATGTCTTCTTTTACTTATTCTGATATTCCTTCAGAGGAGATCAGATTAATTAACATTCCTGGCTTACACATTAACTTCAAGTAATAACACAAAAGAAAAACCAGTGCAGCATTACAATGCTGTATCGTAAAACGTGTGTGTGTGTGTGTGTGTGTGTGTGTGTTTGTGTGTGAATACAGCTCTAATGATGAACTACTCACTAGTGGGTAACTTTCACACTTTTAAATCTTTGTTTTCAACAGACAGAGGGGCTTAAGATTCCTCAATCAGTGATATAATAAAAGCCAATTACATTTTTAAAATGGACAAAGGACTTGGTTAGACATTCCTCCAAAGAAAACATACAAATGGCCAATAAGCACATGAAAAGGTGCTCAATCATGAGTCATTAGGGAAAAGCAAGTCAAAACCACCATGAGGTACCACTTCACACCCACTGGGATGGCTGTACTAAAAAAAAATGGAAAATAACAAGTACCGGGGAGAATTTGGAGAAACTGGAATCTTCGTACCTTGCTGGTAGGAATGTAAAATTGTGCAGCCTTTGGGAGACAGTTTGACAGTTCCTCGGCAAATTAAACATAGAGTTACCATGTGGTCTAGCAATTCCACTTCGGGGTACATACCCAAAAGAATTGAAAACAGGGACTTAAACAGATACTTGTACATGCTATTCATAGCAGCATTATTCACAGTAGCCAAAAGGTAGAAACCACCCAAGCATCCATCAATGGATGAATGAACAAATAAAATGTGGTCTATCCATACAGTGGGATGTTATTCAGCCTTGAAGACACATGCTACAACATGGAAGAATGTTGACGGCAATATGCTAAGTGAAATAATCCAGGCAGAAGAGGACAAATATTGTGTGATTTCACTTAAATGAAATATATGGAATAGGCAATTCAGAAACAGAAAGTAGGTTAGAGGTTACCAGGCCCTGGGAGGTGGAAGTGGTGATGGGTTGGGTACAGAGCTTCTGTTTGGGATGGTGAAAAATTTTGGACATAAATAGCAGTAATGGTTGCACAACATTGTAAACGTAATTAACGCCACTGGAGTGTCATTTTAAAATGGCTGAATGGTAAATCTTATGCATATTTTACCACAATAAGACTTTTAAAACTAAGACCAAAAACAACCATTTGGTAGCATCTTTAGGAATTTTTCTGTATAGTACCATGTCATCTGCAAACGGTGACAGTTCTACTTCTTCTCCAATTTAGATTCCTTTTATTTCTTTTTCTTTTCTGATTGCTGTGACTTGGATTTCCAAAACTGTGTTGACTAAAAGTGGTGAGAGTGGGCATCCTTGCTTTGTTCCTGGTCTTAGAGGAAATGCTTTCAGCTCTTCACTGTTGCGTATTTAGCTGTGGGTTTGTCATATATGGCCTTTATTATATTGAGGTATGTTTCCTCCATGCCCACTTTCTGGAGAGTTTTTCTCATAAATAGATGTTGAATTTTATGAAAAGCTTTTTTGGAATCTATTGAGATGATCATATGGATTTTATTCTTCAATTTGTTAATGTGGTGTACCACACTGATTTGCAAATATTGAAAAATCCTTGCATCCCTGGGATAAATTTCACTTGACCGTGGTGTATGATCCTTTTAATGTGTTGTTGGATTCGGTTTGCTACTACTAGAGCACGTCAATTAATTCAGTAAATTGGCAGGATACAAAATTAATAGAGAAATTTGTTGCATTTCTATACATTAACAACAGAAGAGCAGAAAGAAAAATTAAGGAAACAACCCCATTTACCACCACATCAAAAAGAATAAGATACTTAGGAATAAACCTACCTAAGGAGGCAGAACACCTGTACTCTGAAAACTGTAAGATGCTGATGAAAGAAATTGAAGAGGAAACAAATAGATGGAAAGATATATGTATAAATATATATATAAATATATACCATGTTCTTGGATTGGAAGAATCAATATTGTTAAAATGACTGTACTACCCAAGACAATCTACAGATTCAGTGCAATGCCTATCAAATTACCAATGGCATTTTTCACAGAACTGGAACAAAAAATTTTTTAATTTGTATGGAAACACAAAAGACCCCGAATAGCCAAAGCAATCTTGAGAAAGTAGAATGGAGCCAGAGGAATCAGGCCTCCTGACCTCAGACTATACTACAAAGCTACAGTCATCAAAACAGTATGGTTCTGGCACGAAAACAGAACTACAGATCAGTGGAACAGGATAGAAAGTCCAGCGATAAACCCATGCACCTATGGTTAATTAATCTACAACAAAGGAGGCAAGAATAATACAATGGAGAAAAGACAGTCTCTTCGGTAAGTGGTGCTGGGGGGCTTCCAGGCTTCCCTGGTGGTGCAGTGGTTAAGAATCTGCCTGCCAGTGTAGGGGACACGGGTTCAAGCCCTGGTCCAGGAAGATCCCACATGCTGTGGAGCAACTAAGCCCGTGCACCACAACTACTGAGCCTGCGCTATAGATCCCATGAGCCACAACTACTGAAGCTGCACGCCACAACTACTGAAGCCCGTGTGCATAGAGCCCATGCTCTGCAACAAGAGAAGCCACCACAATGAGAAGCCCGCATACCACAACGAAGAGTAGCCCCCGCTCACCACAACTAGAGAAAGCCCGCACGCAGCAACGAAGACCCAACGCAGCCAAAAATAAAATAAATAAATTTTTTTAAAAAGTAAGTGGTGCTGGGAAAACTGGACAGCTACATGTAAAAGAATGAAATTAGAACATTCTTTAACACCATACACAAAAATAAACTCAAAGTGGATTAAAGACCTAAATGTAAGACTGGATACTATAAAACTCCTAGAGGAAAACATAGGTAGAACACTGACATAAATCTCAGCAATATCTTTTTGGATCCATCTCCTAGAGTAATGGAAATAAAAACAAAAATAAATGAATGGGACTTAATTAAACTTAAGCTTTGGCACAGCAAAGGAAATCATAAACAAAACAAAAAGACAACCTACGGACTGGGAGAAAATATTTGCAAATGATGCAGCCAACAAAGGATTAATCTCCAAAATACACAAACAGTGCATGCAGCTCAATATCAAAAAAACAAACAACCCAATCAAAAAATGGGCAGAAGATCTAGGAAGACATTTCTCCAGAGAAAACATACAGATGGCCAACAGGCACATGCAAAGATGCTCAGCTTTGCTAATTATTAGAGAAATGCAAACCAAAATTGCAATGAGGTATTGCTTCATACCAGTCAAAATGGCCATCATCAAAAAGTCTACAAATAATAAATGCTGGAGAGAGTGTGGAGAAAAAGGAACCCTCCTACACTGTTGATGGGAATGTAAATTGGTGCAGCCACTATGGAAAACAGTGTGGAGTTTCCTTCATAGAATTACCGCATGATCCTGCAGTCCCACTCCTGGACATCTGTCTGGAGAAAAGTCTTAATTTGAAAAGATGCGTGTACCCCAGTGTTCACTGCAGCACTATTTACAGTAGCATGGAAATTTACAAAGACATGGAAGCAACCTAAATGTCCATCAACAGATGAATGGATAAAGAGGATGTGGTATATGTATACAATGGAATGTTACTCAGCTATAAAAAAGAATGAAATGATGCCATTTGCAGCAACATAGATGGACCTAGAGATTATCATACTAAGTGAAGTAATCCAGGGAGAAACAAATACCATATGGTTTCACTTATATGTGGAACCTAAAAAAAAAAAATACAAATGAACTTATTTACAAAACAGAAATAGACCCACAGACATAGAAAACAAACTTATGGTTACCAAAGGGGAAAGTGGTGGGGAGAGGGATTAACATATACACACTACTATATATAAAATAGATAGCCAACAAAGAAGGACCTACTGTGTAGCACAGGGAGCTATACTCAATATTTTGTAATAACCTGTGAGGGAAAATAATCTGAAAAAGAATATATATATATATATGTGTGTGTATAACTGAATCACTGTGCTGTACATCTGAAACTAACACAACGTAAATCAACTATACTTCAATTTTAAAAATAAAATCTCTTTTACTTAAATCTTAGAAGGTAGTTTATCTAGGATGTTCTGTTATAGCATATGATATCTATTAATGTTGATTTGTAGCCATAAACCAAACAAAATAAATACCATTGAAAATGTAGTTTGGCAAATACTTCATTATTTTAAAATCACACTTGCCCCATTAATTAATGGTGAAACAAAATATGTAGCCTCTTGTTTCTCTCCCCATGCTCTCTAACGTAAAGGTAAAATTAGAGAATGATTGTATTTTCCTTAGTTCTGTTTGGTAATCCAATTGGATCATTCTGAAGTAAAATTATAATCCTAATTCTTCTAATTGTCTTAATTTCCTTTTATTTACTCTGGATGTCAGTTTTCTGAACCACGGTTGGGTGCGCTTTTCCTCAAGTGGCTGTTTAGTAAATATTCAGTCTCCATGGTCTCTGTCGCAAGCCTCAGCTCTGCCCGTTGGTGTGAAAGCCACTGTAGATGGTACAGCAAGGACTGAGGGCCGTGTCCCAATAAAACTTTATTTACAAAACCAGGCAGCATCTAGTTTGCTAACTCCTGTTCTGAACTTCCAGACCTTTTTACCAAAATTCAGTCCTGTGTTTCCCACTGTGAGAGTCCATTCTGTGAAGATAGCAGCGTTGAGAGAAACCTAACAGCATCAGAGCTTTGAGATCTTTCAGTGAGTGCTCAAAATGGTAGTAACTGCGGATCATAATCCCATAGTTCTTTTGTATCTTTCAGAATGTTTTTGTAAACACGCTTTTGTTTTATATTTACAAATACCGGAGAGTAGAGTTGGTGTGACTGTCCCCTCTTGCAAATGGACAGTAGGTGTTTCTCAGAGGCTGGCTGGTCCTGCCTTCTCCATCCTTACTGAGCCCTCCCATCTCTCTGTGCAGTGTGTATTCCGGGCACCAGTCCATCCTCATCCCACCTGCAGAGCTGGAGACCAACCCTGCCTTGTGGCTGCTTGCCGTGAGTCAGTACAAAGTCCGGGATACATTTTGCTCCTACTCAGTGATGGAACTGTGTACCAAGGGGCTGGGCTCGCAGACAGAATCCCTCAAGGTAAGCAGCCCTCAGAGTGCTTGGGGGACACTTGCCAGCATCCTGGGAAAGCACCAGTGTCAGAGGGTGTGAAGTAGGTGTGGTGAGGCTAAATGATCCTTCAGAAAAGCCGACATTAAGGTCCCCTGTCACCTGAGGTTGACGAAGTTGTTTTCACGTGAAAACCTTGTTTTATAACATGGATATTTTCCCACTGCCAGAGTTAGAGGTCAGAGTGTATGTTATTGATGTCTTTAATTCTGTTACGGCTACTTGGAGGGTCCTGAATTGCCTTTTGATTTGTTGGTGGATTCAGTTCTTGAGTGCAGTTAGTTTTATTCCAACACTGGGATTCGAGTCATACATCTAAATTTAGCCACTCATTTCATTTTCCTTGAGGACCCTGATTGGTAGATCTGGGTCCTAACCAAAATTAATTTTTAAAATCCAGTGAACAGTGGCTTGGTTTTATTTTTTAATATTCAATTACCATTATGTGACAATAACAACATTTCCCTTCATTGAAACCAAGGACTTTTTTTTTTTTTTTTTTTTTGCAGTACGCGGGCCTCTCACTGTTGTGGCCTCTCCCGTTGCGGAGCACAGGCTCCAGACGCGGAGGCTCAGCGGCCATGGCTCACGGGCCTAGCCGCTCTGCGGCATGTGGGATCCTCCCGGACTGGGGCACAAACCCGTGTCCCCTGCATCAGCAGGTGGATTCCCAACCACTGCGCCACCAGGGAAGCCCCAAGGACTTTTTGATAGACATATTTTCATCGTAAATTATGTAGTCCTTATTCAAGTAACCAGGAGAGAATAATCATATGACCTATTTTGGTTAATATTCCAACTATTCACTGTTTATATGCTCAGATATGTGTGAGTGTGTATGTATAGGTATATACACAGATTATATTTGTGTGTATATATGCACACATACAAATTACCTATACACTTGCCATTAGTAAAGCAATATATTTCTCTCTTCTGAATTTTGTTTTCCTATTCAGACCTAGTGCATTAAGCTTGAACAAGAAAGCAAAATGCAAGATAACTTTGATATTAAGCTAAATATCAATAATAAATAAATATTACTTGAAGTTATATGTTTATACAGCAAAGGAAATTTATAAAATATTATTATTCATGTCCACCTATATTATGCTATAAAATGATTGAGTACGTTTCATGAACTTTACCTACAGGTGCATTTATAAATAACCAAATGAAATAATAAGTGATTTCTAAGCACTTTACATAATTGATTAATTTAACCTTTACAATGGTTCTCTGAAATAGATCCATTATTGTTTCCATTTTAAAGATGAGGAAACTTAGGTTACAGAGAAATTAAGCACCTTCTCCAAGTTCTTACATTTAGTAAACTTTGAAGCCAAATTTTGAATCTGTGGCTCCACGAGCACCATCTCAAAGCCCAGGGTGCATTGCCTCCCAAAACACACATATGTCGAGGGTCATTCGTGTTACCTGGACTTAATTTTCCCTGTGTAACTGCACGTATGGAAGATTGTCGTTATCTTGACTCGTGTCCCTCCTCAGCTCAGGTGCCCTTGTCAGCTCTCCAGGACGCTGATGGCTCCTGGCGACTGTCCTGTGTGGGGATGGAGACCCTGTCGCTCCCTCACCTCCTGTTTCATTGCCACTCCCGTTGCGCGTTTTGCTCTTCCTCAGCTTCACTTGGGAGTGTTGTGCTTTTAAGGCACTTCATTTCCTGTCCCGGGTGTTGCCATTTCGTTCACTAGATGGAATTTGGGCAGAACTGCGCTGTGCTTCCTTGTGACAGTTTATCTGGGACCTGTTAGGTCTCAGGACATGAAAGGAGAGCTGTGTTTAAGAAGCTGCCCAGATGTTTTCATTTTCCATTCTTATATTAAAAGCAGGTTTCTCATTTCTCTCCGATGGATGTTCCTGTGTATCCATGCTGGCAGGAGTGTATGCAAGTGCTTCTGTTCTTCCCCAAACGCTGTCCTTTAATTATTTTATCCACACCTTGTTTTTCTTCAACTTTTCTCCTCATTATGCTTCTTGAATTATTTAAAATATGTTTGTAATGGCATCCTTGATTACCGATATGGGCTTTTTTTTATTTACACGTGTTCTACAGCATTTTGGTTAATGGTGCGGACACAGAGAGCCCTGGGAATGAATATCTATGTGGAGTTTCTGTTGTTGTACAGATCTGGGTAAGGAGCCTGCAGGTCACACCCCTAACACTGGCAAGGCTGACCTCCTACTGCTGTCATTATTTCTAGGCACGAGGACTGGACTTGTCCCGCGTGCGGACCTGTGTAGTGGTGGCAGAAGAACGGCCCCGAATAGCACTCACCCAGTCATTCTCAAAACTGTTTAAAGACCTGGGCCTCCATCCACGGGCCGTTAGCACCTCGTTTGGCTGTAGAGTGAACCTGGCGATTTGCTTGCAGGTGAGTTTCCTTGATGCCAGTAAGTGCGTGAGTCAGAGAGTGACTTTTAAAGACAGGCATACAGCGCCACGCTGCTCAACATAGTTTCCACTCTGATGCTTACCCACATTTAGAAGGTATCTTCCAGTCAAATGCATGTGGTTGCTATACACTTTTTGTTTGTTTGTTTTGTTTTGTTTTGTTTTTTATTATACTCTGCATTTGTCAGTAACCATTAATCATAACTAGCATTCACAGGCTTATTCTGTCCTGGGGCATTTTAAGTTTTGTAACATGAGTAGCAGTTTGTCAAGACCTGTGAAGGCAGGCTCTTAAAGATGAGATACTAAACAAATGCTTCATTGTGGCAAGAAATCCTGTATCTTGAAGTACTTAGTCTCTTGTATGCAAACAGTAACTTCTGTAGGAAGAATTCCAGGACATTAAGCAGATTCATGAATTTGCGGCTGTGATGACATGGAAGTATATACTTTTTGCTGCATTTCTAAGGCAGAGCTGTAAGTGAGGCTGCCCTCGTAAGATAGCCTTGCATTATATGTGGCAAAAGAAAAAAATGCTTATTTTCTTTCTTTCTCTTCATTAGCCCACTTCAGACCATCTTCACTATTCCTTTCCATCTCTGAACTCTTAACATGAGATCTAGTCCATGAAGGAAAGGAAAGTCCTATGGGAATCTGTTCCCAGTGCCCTTTGGGCAGCCTCATCCAAAACAAGCCAGCCCAGGGCTCAGCTGCAGGCTTTGTTCCTGGAGCATATTAAAAGGACAAGAACTTTGCTCACAGCAGGTGCTGGAGTGGAGGACAGTGGACACAAGCTGGCTCCTGATCTCGCCTCCCTGCCCACCCACTGTCTCTCCCATTTACGACCCAGAGATGCTGCTTACAGCTCCCCTTGGGAGACCTCAGGAAGCTCCTGGTCAGCTGTCTCCCGGCCCGTGCTCTCAGTATCTGGGCTCAGCGTGGACTTGGGAGAGGAAGGACTCTGCCCGTGTGACCAGTCTGCTGGGCTCGCTTCAGAAAAATTAGCTACAGGAAGGTGTTCTGATTTTCATTGGTGTTCCTTTGCTTCTGTCTTCCTTCTCTTTGAATTAGCTCCATTTTTAAAAATTTATAACTACCAGGGTCCTCTCAAGCGTCAGTTGAACCTTGTTCTATGATTGAAATTAATTCCCTTTTCTAAGAGGTAATCTGAAGAATTGGATTTATCTTTTTGCCAAACTAGTTCTTTAAATATTGAAGTTTTCTTTTCCTATTCACCTTGATCTGTTCTGCTTAAATGTTTCTAGCCATCTGTTCCATGAGGAGAAATGAGAAATACAGAAATCCACTTCTTAAATAAATTCAGCCATAGGATGATATAATGCTTCCCTTCTCCTGCAAGTAGTGGGGAAAAAATCAGGGATCCATGAGAGACAGGCTCTTGGCCACAATATTGCTTCTTCTTTCTCTCTCTCTCAGAACGTTGGCAGATGAAGGGAGAAGGACATAGAATGGATCCATATAAACATAATAGCACTTAGCACTTGTCCACTTCATACAGGCAACAAAGCAAGTTCTGCTACACTTTATTATACAGAATTAAAACTTTGTAGATCCTAGAAATAGAGCACTTACGGTTATTTACCTCTTTATTTTTCATTTATTTCCATCTACTTGATCCAAAATGTTTTAAGAAGTTTTATAGGGAAGCAGTAGATTAAGTAGGGAGAGTAAAATACACTAAAAATAATTGAAAAGATAGAGGTGACAGAAAATAAGGGTGAGAAGCCTAGAATGAAGTTGGCACACAGGTGTTCGCCACCTTTGTGGCCTAAAATATGAGCTCCATCATTCCTGTGTCCTTAGCACCTAGAACCGTACCTGGTGCTTTGTAAATATTTAATAGATACGTGTTGTAAGAATGTTGAATAAATTAAGTTCTGTACTCCTAATAAAAAGAATAAATATTCTTTTTCTAGAAAACAATTCCGTCAGTATGACCCCCACATCAGAGCTGACATCCCCAGTCACGGGTCATGGTGCTGTTCTGGAACGTTGACAGCATCTTTAAGTGTTTTTGTACATTTTAAGTTTTTCTACTTGCGTGCTTTACTCTCAACTAATTTTCAGCCAGTTTTTCTTTTTCTGAATGATCAGTATTAGAAAATAGCTGAAAATATCAGTGTGTCTGATAGTAGAGATAAATCAAATAAATTAAGTGTATCATACTAAGGAATGCAGACTCTCTATCCTTGCCAACCCCGGGGCCAGGTGTGCGTCGGGATTACGGAGTTCTCTTGCATTGGGGAGGCAGGAACCAGCAGGCTGCGAGCAGAACCCCGTAACCGCACACATGGTGTCTCTCGGTGACGCTCCATCCTGTGAGTAGCTCGTGTCAGCCTAAGTCAGAGTTTACTCAGATAAGTGCAAGACACGGTTTTGGCCCTCATGGAACCAGATGGACAGTAAACACAGATGATTTTTTCAGTAAGTGAGTAAAATATTCTTAGTAAAGATAAAGTAAGAAGGAAAAGGAGACACACGAGGTAATTTTAGGAGGGGTAGCCAAGAAAGGCCTCTCTATGAGGTGACATTTCAGCCAAGTGCCCTCTGAGGTGAACGTACAAAAATTTGGGCAAAGGCAGCATCAAGTGCAGAAGGCTTGAGGCAGGGCTGGTCAGTGGAAATGTTTGTTTTCTATTAATTTTTGCAGAAATTAAAAAATATGTGATTATGGTCCCAAGCAAACAGAGCAGGCATAGCTCGAGGTCTGAGGGCAGAAATCCCATGTCTCTTCTTCCCATTGTGTTTCTACAGGGCCTGACACATAATAAATGCCTAATAAAGATGTTAAATATACTAAAACTGAATTTGTAAGAATGTTTAGACAAAGAAATGAGGAAAACAACCTGAAAAGTTATGAACCTTTTATAGATTAAGTATTTTTACAAAAGAATATTTATTTTAGGAAACAAAATCAGAAAATACAGACTAGCCAATAAATAAATAACATTCATAAGTCATACCCAGAGATAATCACCATTACTCCCTTGATGTAAAAAAAAATCAAAAAAATGCTAAGATAGTTCCTAAATTCCAAACCCGTCCTAAATGTTTAAAGACATTGAGAAGTTTACACCGTTTTCCTTATGGAACGCCAGGATTACCAATATATGTGAAATCAGTTAGTGGGCGTATTTGTTTTCAGTTGATTTGTTGTTTGAGGACATGTTTTCTCAGCTGATCGCCTGTTGTCCTTCCTCAAGGCCCTTGACTGGACCCCGAGTGCTCAGGTAGAGGGCACCCCTGCAGGAGGAGGGCAGGGGTACGTGGGTAGGGACACGAAGGACGCTGTCCAGATGAGGAATGGAACCTCATCTGAGCCATGTGCTGTTTACAAGCTGCTCTCGCTGGGGACCACAATTTTAGTGTCTATGGGTCCCCTTCCAGAAGTGCCCCCTGGCCTTGGGGAGGCTGGGCTGTGCAGCGGGCAGGGTGCTGTGACTGCAGAATGAGACGCATCTGATGCACGAGGTTCTGAACTTACGTGAGATAAATCAGGGCTTGTGTTTACTTCATCAATGGCACGCTGACTGATCCAGCCTGAGCATCTCTCTCCCCTTTGTACAGTTTTACGCTAAATGACATTCTCTACCGTAGAGTCTTTCATGCTTTTACTTCCTGATGCCACAACTCAGGCTGTTCTCTGCCTGAAATGGGCTTCCACCTTCTTCATGTGGCAAAAGCCTGCTTCTCTTTCCAGGTGTCATGTTTAGATTCTTTCCTTAGAATAGGAATATTTTCCTTCCTCTGAATTCCCATGGCAGGTCATCCCTCCCACTTAATGTTGTCTGCCATAGTTCACAATTATGTACATAAACAACTTCTATCCCCCTGCTCTGTGAAAAACTGTCTTAGAGAACCCAGTACACAACTCACATAGTCACACAGTCACTTCCTGAGACTGAATTTTGTGAAAGTACTGGGTGTCAACTCCTCTGACTGCAAATATGCTTCACATTTGAGAAATTCAGCGTGTTTTTTATTAGCCTCAAGCCTCCTGAGGGAAGTAAGTACATAGCAGTCCTGAAATTTCTCTGAAATGAACTCATGTGAATCTTCATCAGGTAAAAACTCACAGCATCATTTGTAAGTTATCATGAAATGAAATGAAATGAAATGAAAATCAAAGGTTTGCTGCTCTTCAAGCTTCTAGCAGCATTTTCATCTCAAACAGTAGCTCCAGGGCCTGCACCTTCAGAAAAAAGACTTCATGCCCAAAAAAGAAAAAAAAAAATTTTCTCTCACAAATGTGTCACACCACTCAATTCCAGGCAGCATCTGGCTAGAGCTTCCTACAACTCACAGAGAGCAAGCTCGGTCGTTTCGTTTTAAGAGGAGAGAAACTGAGGCTCAGAGAAGTTAAGTGAGCTTTCCTGACAAAGCAGGGAAATAAAAACAGCTGCCGGAAACAGAACTGGCATTGCTACTGACTGTGTCATCTAAACAGAGCAGCATGTTAAAGAAATCTCACATTTTGCAATTTTGTCAGGTGCCAATTCCATGTTGTGGTTTATTATGCAAGTGAAATAACAGCCTTGTAAACTGTTTACAAAACTGAACTGTATACAGGCAGGATATCCTGCCTTCAGTTTTTGACTGTTTTCCTGGAACATTTTAAATCAGACCCCCTATTTCCGTGTGACCTAAATCAAACAGCTCAGAAGACATGCATCTGTGTGCTAGATGCTGTTCTTCAGTCTGTTGTCACCAGGGGGTGGGGAGGCAGGGGCCGGGAGGGTGTGCTAGGAACAGAGTCAGGGCCACCACAAAGGGACTCCGCAATGCCTGCTTTCATGGGCTGTGACATGAAACCCTAGTTTCTTGTAATAGAGAAAATCATGAAAATTGACAAATACATCATTGTCAAGTATGCAAATGAGCAATTTAAAAAATTTACATATAAGGCAATTGCAAAAATAGAATAACAGAAAACTGAGACAGTCATAATTTCTGTGATGC